ATTAATAAATGTATTCTTGTGTATTAGTATCTGTGTGTGTGCGTTGTTTGAGTTATACCGCATGGTTGGATTCTAAGGCCATTAAAAGAATCATTTTGTGACTTACTGCTACAATTAATAAATGTCCCAGTAAATGCCCAAACCCCTACAGAACTGGTGCCTCGTAAGAGCACACTACAGATGCAATTTGGTTTTGATTTCAGTTTCATATTTGGATTGTCTCTGTGCTGCTCCATCTTCAGACTTTGTCTGTGTTTCTCTCCAATTTGTTTTGTGGATTTCCCTTTGATACCTTACCACTGTGATTCATGGTACTACTACCACTATACTATCCCAGTTATTTCTCATTGTCTTGACATATTTAGCACTTAAAATAGGTCTTCGACAACACCACTTGTTCGCAAAACCCCAGAAAAGTGAATTCTATGTACCTGAGGTCATTTTTCTGGGCTTCTCTGAGGGACTTCAGATGGATCAACAGAAGAGATTATCTGGCCAGCATTGGCCAGTAACCACCTCCCTGAAGAAAGTACAGTACTTTGTGGGCTTTGCAAATTACTTCTGTCATTCTTACCATCAATTACAGCTCTCACCTGACAGCAGCTTAGTCAAGGCAAATGGACCCCTGGCACTCAGAAGGTGTTTGAGGAACTTAAGCACTGCTTTACTTTGGTACTTGTGTTGAGACATCCTGACCCTTTACTATACATACATCACTCTTGAGGTTCATGTATTGGATATAGGGGTGGGGCAATTCTTTACTAATACTCAGGGCCCTCAGGGCTTTCACCCATGGGCCTATTTTATTAGGTAACGCTCCACAGCTGAACAAATTTACAATGTAGCAAAATAGAGAGCTCTTGGGTATAAAACTGGTATTGACGGAATGGCTGTATCTCCTGGAAGGAGCCTCACACCCTTTTGTGTTTTTTTTCCAGATCTCTCCCATTTTGATTTTACAGTTTCCTACAGGCCAGGTTAAAAAAACAGGAAGACTGACATTGACATTGTCTAGGACTTTTGCTCATGATGAGGTCACCTTGGAGTCTGAGCCTATGAAGAAGTTGTGAGCAAAGCTTCTCTTACACTCCTCCCGCCAAACTCTTTATCCCCATTTTAGCCTGATCAGAAGTTCTTCAATGCACCTAGATTCTCATCTGGTCCAGGTAGGCTTCAATATCTTGTCTATTGGAAATATCAGGGTCTGGAAGAGAGATCTTGGATTTGTGCTTGGGAGCTGCATGCCCCATGTCTGGTCTGATCTTTTCATTTCCATTTTCCGTGAAAACTTCGTCTGGTGCCTAGAGGTTGCCCTTTGAGGGGGGGCTGTAACACTCACTCATGCCAGAGCGCTGCAAGATGCCATAGCATTTCTATGGCAAATTACCTCATTTGTCATTATAATTTCCTTTTCAGATTGATCATGTGATTCTTCAGCTATGGACTTTACTTGTGTTTCACTTGGACTCATTTTATTGATTTTCCTCTGGTACTTTACTATGTGATCTCTTGGTTGCTAATTTGCCTGCTGTGGACTTTTGGAATGTCCCTGGATTGTTTTTCTTGTTTCTCATTCACCTTCACCTGGCCTCCACCTGCTTCTACAGTTAAGAGCAGCATAATACATCATTATCGAGAAATGTGAAAGGGAGAACCACTGTGGTTAATCTCCTTTATTGTCATCAGAAAACCACAGGGTGGGAAATTAATACTTTCATTTTTGTATTGTATTTTAGTGCTTGGAAAAATAAACTAAACAGGTCCATTTTCTTTTTTACTACATAACCTCAATGTCTACTCCTTGTGTGCTATGTGGTGTTGTAACATGCCTTCTGAGAAGTTAATTATCATGAATCCTTTCTCTATAAAATAAAGCTGTTTTATTTATTAAGAAGATGATTTTCACCATAGGGGACACATTTATCATTCTGAGTTTTTTCCACATATACACAATGCCATTGTCTTTCTTCTCTCATTAATATCACCTGTGGACCCCCACACATTGAATGAGAAAATTATCTTTTCACAGATAATCTCTCATTTATTCAACATCTCATTTTTTATGACTGTTGTTTGTGTATTGGTTATTTTTCACAAATTAATCCTTAGATACTCTTGT